TCTCCAAACCATGTGGACTGTAACAAAACTGATTTCCAAGTAAATGTGCCTTATAACATAAATAAAACTGAGTATAGATGGAACGTGGAAATGAACGTATCTAAAATGTTCTATTAGTACATACTAAGGCAGACATGTTGCCAGTGCTGGATGGCACCCTCCCTAAGCTGGCAAGAGGTCCACAGTCTCCACAGGCTGGATGGCGCCCATGGATCTTGGCAGATCTCACTGGAGGAAGAAAATGCCAGGTTGACAAGCTTTATGTTCCCTGTGGGAGACACTGCTTTGTAAGGTTGCCATTTGGGAAATATCCATCCCTGAGATCTCTCAAAAGAAGATCTCAGAGTATCTGAGAGGATAATTGAGGATAATGGGACTAAAGATGATATGGGACTGAGAAAGATTATTAGCTCTGTATTGCCTTATTGAGCTGGATAGAGAAAATTAGCATATGGGACAAAGACGGCATTTCTGAATAACACTGTCAATCAATGCCGCACTAAAGCAAGTTCAGAAAAGGCAAAAGATACATAGGTGCAATGCAACTTGCACCAGGCATGAAGCGCCACGTTCCTTGCAGCCAAAGACTTCAACACTTGGGAAAATGTCCACCACTCCTCTAGACCAGTTTCTGAACATACCTGAGGGGCCAGTGTATCCTTCTTGAAGTGTTACAGCAGGTAAAGCTTCAGCATATCAGTTTCAAAAATGAAGAACCAGACCTTGTTTTCCAATAACAATGATAGTAGTCATAGTAATTATTATAGTCATAATAGCAGCCAGTATTTGCTGAAAAATTGCTATGTGCCAGGCATTTCTCTAAGGACTGTATATATGGTTTTCATCAGTTAGCACTCCATATTAGATAGGTTTGATTATTTCTTCCATTTCTAGATGAAAAAACTGAGGCACTAGTCAGTAATGATGCAAAGAAGTCATCATTTGACAGTGTAGATTCAGAGCGACACGGAGTAACTGGTATTTAATTCATTCCCTAAGCTAAGCTGGTGGTCATGTACTTCAAAGGGCTATGTAAGTCAGCTTCTGTTGATGTAATAAATAATTAAGAGAACTCAATTTAAAAAGAAAAAGGGTTTATTTTGGCTCACAGTTTGGGAGGGTTTAGTCCATGAGCAATAGTCTTGCTGCTTGGAGTCTGTGAAGGCAAAGTGTACGATGGCGGCAGAACCTGGCGGGGGAAGGCAGTTCACCTCAGGGCTTGGTGTGAATTCAATGGCATTCTCCCCGTGGCCAACTGTTGACGCTTCCACAGTATTTCTAGAGTCCTATGGGATGGGGGAACCAAATCTTTAAGTGTCTATAAGTGTACCCCCAAATAAGCCTTGGGGGACACTTATCCCAAACAGCAGGTATTCACCAATCAAAATGTGCACTCATGTGGCTGAGCACTGCAGGCACTTTGTCTTCTCACCAGAGCATTCTCTAACTCTTTCAGAATTCATTCCCATCATGCTCAGATTGGAGATAAGTTTGCAGAGCAAGCAGAGCTCCTGAACACTGTTATCAGAACCCTGGTGGGCCAGTGGGGTCCTTCAAGACAGACCTGTGGAGACACCAGTCCTGCCCCTCAAGGTAGGCGAGACAGAGGAGAAAACAGCAGTTATAAACACAACACCATTGAAGGGCCATCAGAATAGAGGACAGGGACCAGGGAGTGGGAGAGGTGGAGGGAGGGGGAAGCAATGGGGAGGGATATTGGTCAAATTATTTTGTTACATTGTGTTCATGAACTACTATGTAGTGGCATAGCCTGCCACTTGCACCACTGTAACGCACCAATAAAAAGATAAATAAAAAAACAATGCCACTGGCTAATGACTGGTGTGCTCCAGTCAATCTGGTATGGAAACCCAGCTCCAGAAGGCTGGATTTGGTCCGGCCATGTGGATGTTGGTATTGAAATCCAGGGGAATGTTTTCTGAGTTCTGATGTGTGAAAGAGGACTCTGGTTCTCTACCCTGGCTGCATACCTGAGAATCACATGAGAGTCTTAAAAAAATATAGGTGTGGGACCCCAGACCAGACCAGTTAAGTCAGGATTTCTGGGAATGTGGAGTAGGAGCATTTGGATTTTCAAAAACTCCCCAGGTGACAGCAACATGTGGCTGGGATTGAACACTTTGTATTAAATATTGTGGAGACGACTGAAGTTCCTTGGAGAGTAGGCATTGGAAGTCTCAAAACTGGGATGGAGCTCTTGACATCTCTGGAACTGAAGGACTAGCTTGATAGGCGTGAGACAGGGCAAGCAGAGAGGATGCTTGGTCAGGTGCCCTGTTTGCTGGGACGGTTGTGTCTCCTCACTAGGCCTCCAGGATGGTAACTTTTGAAAAACTCTGGGCAGTCGTTAAGCCTGGTAAGAACATGGAAGATATTCAGAGAAAACAATATTCAATTAACAACACAGTATTATTTAAAACTGAGGAGTGTTTCTTCACCTTTTAGTTAGGACCCAAAAATGATTTATATCAGAGAGAGGGAAGGGGGGAGGCAAGCACAAGCTCTGAACATCAAAATTAGTGTTGTATTTATGTTAGCGTTCTGTAAAATAAATATTTCTTATTCACAATCAGTAATTAGCTGCTAATTTAAAGCTCTGTCCTCTTCTCTGATCCTGCTATTAGACTTATGATGAGTTTGGGTTTAGAGGCTATTTAAGTTTCTTTTTTAAAAAAAGTTTGTTTTTTTTGTTGTTGTTGTTGTTGTAGATGGACAGCATGCTTTTATTTTATTTGTTTATTTTTATGTGGTGCTAAGGATTGAACTCAGTGCTACAGCCTTAAGTTTCCTGAAGGTGGCAGCACACATAGGTGGACTAAGTTTCAGGGTATCTGCACAAGATTTACACTATCTTGAGTCTTTATGAAAGGAAGGAAGGAAGGAAGGAGAAAAGGTAATGGATCACATTACAAAGTGCACTGTAGCTCCCAGAGAACTTGGGAGGGCATCTGAGTTCAAACCACATGCTTACTTTATGTCAAAAAATCAGTACCCACACAGGTAGTTGTTATGGTTAAGGAGTCAGGACAGAACCATGTTTTGCCTGCTTTTTTCATGGATCCACGGATCCCTCCTCTCCAACCAATGTAATCCCAGGTGCAAGTCCTGAATGGAGGTTAAATGCTCCCACCACTCCCTGGATGGAAACGCCAGTTCTCCCTGGTCCTCTCTACAAATCCTAAGATCCTCAGCCTCCTGGTCCTGGGATTCCCCTTGGCCCTAGCAGATCCCTAACTCTTGGATAATCTTAACACCAGGGAAGGGACAAACTGGAATCTCACAACTTCAGCTGATTTCTCTAGATGTTGTTTCGTAAATAAGCAAAGGGAGGTTATTGGAATATTCTAGGTGCCAACATACTCTCCTCTAGAGCTACGACCAGCAAGAAACAAAGCCTAAGAGGAAAAAAAGAGTTCCCCAAGATATACAAAGGGGATGCACATCTGAGTTTTTCTGTGCATTCTGGAGAAAGGCTAGCTAGGATTGGTCAGACCCCGTTCAGAGTTGAAACTTCTTTGGTTAGATACGGACAAAGCTTCTGGAAGTCCAGCCTTATTCTTCTTGTCAACGCAGGTGGATAGTTACTTGTGCGCTCATCAGCACTGACTGCCCACAGAGTTAATCAAGCCCCTGGCTACTCTCCTGTAGGGCTTGTGCATTGTTCCTCTGGCGTTGAGTGATTCCTGGGTTTGGGCAAGCTCCAGGCGCTCCGTGTGTACAGGATGCCTCTGTTCGCAACTAGAAACACAGTGCACGCAGAGATAGGGGTCTGCGGAGCCAATAGCAACTCTCGGCGCGAAAGAAGGAGTGAGCCAACGAGCGAAGCCCACCTGGTTGGCAAGGCCAGGCCTTTCTCTGCGTGCCGGGTGCAGATGGAGTTCGCCCTTTGCGCGGGTGTACTGCGCCTGCTTCAAGAGTCGCTCAGGGGCGGTCCTGGCGGGCCAGCCCCGAGCCGCCTTCCCATTGGCGGGAGGACACGCCCGTCCCCGAGTGAGGGCTTCCAAAGTTTCATTGAAGGTGGAGAAGTGTGCGCCCGCCGGGGAGCCCTGGCTGCGCCGCGGCTAGGGCGAGGCTGCACCGCGGCGGGCGGGGGGCGCGCTGGGCATCCGGACGGCGTTTGAGTTTTCTTTTTAAAATTGAGACAGTGGAGGAGTGAATTGGCATCTGATCTACCCGTTTTGCGCTTTCGTCTGGATTCCTGCCCACGCTCACACGATTCCTTCAAGTGCGGGAAGGACTCGCAGCGCCACCCGCGGACAGATAACTGGAGCCCAGCGGTGTCGGGAATGGTCCTGTGCGCCTGGCTGCTCCCACCTCGGTCTCTCCGGCCCAAAGCTGGGGGGCGCAGAGGCTGAGCTGCACCACCACTCGGGATCCACAGCCTGCTCCTTGAGGCCGCGGGCTGTAGGTCGAGACTCGGGGTCCGCGGGGCAGCTTCGAGAGCCAGGCGCAGGGCGGCGCGCGGCAGCCTGCGTGGGCAGAGGGGCTGGGGCCGGGCAGCAGAGACTCGTTGGCTTCAGAAAGGTTCTGCGCAAAAGGCTCCCCGGCCTCCCCTGAGCGACGCCCCGGGAGCCCAGCCAGAGGACTGCACTCCCTCTTCGCCCCCTTTCCGAACTGCTCCAGGCCCCTAGGACTCTCCCAAACTGTCCTCCTCCAGGGCCCCCGCCCCGGCTGCCCCTGAAGAGGCCGCCGCCACCGGAACCTGAGTTCTACACTTAATGGGCCGGCCGCAGAGGGTCGGGCGCCTGGCTAGGTGGCTGCCAAGAGCCTGGTGAGCGGCTGCCCAGAGCCCTGCGGGCGAGGGGCAGCTGAGAGCGCGTTGAGCGCGCCCTCGGGGCTGAAAGCCCGGCGGCCAGCGCAGAGGCGATGCCTGGGCGGCTTCCTGGTGGCAGGAGGCCCTAGGCGGGCATGGGCCTGGCGTCCCAGCCCTAGGGACCCTCGAGCCTCGCCCCTGCACTCGGAGTCGCCGAACCGACGCGATGGCCTCGGAAGTGGTGTGCGGGCTGGTCTTCAGGCTGCTGCTCCCCATCTGCCTGGCAGTAGGTGAGTCTAGTGGGCTCTCCAAGGTTACTCGGGGACTGTGAGGAGGGCTTCTTAGCGGGGACTTCCTAGCAAAGTTAAGGGCACTAGTGCTCCCGGACTCGATTCCCGAAGCGTGGTCCAGGTGGCAACAGCGTTAACCGCGCTGTCCCGGTGACACAGTAAGTCTCTCTCACTTCCCGCTCTGGGGCAAAGGACCGGTGTCTCCCTTCAACGTCCAGCTGCAGAGTCCCGGTGACAGAGATCTGCTGCAGGTGCTGGAGACGGTTGTGTTGAATTTAGCCACGCGTGGATTTTTTTTTTTTTATAAGCACAGTACTGCCTGTGCACAGAGGATGCAAGTCGCCTGGAAGGCGGCAGTGACCCCCGCGGTAGGAACCTGAGCTTAGACCTGAGGCCCCCTCCTCCGGGATGTCCTGGGACAGGCAGCACATGGTGCTCCATCCAGACCACCAGGGGCCATCTCTTCCCTACCCCATATCCCAGCCACCCTGTAGGGAGAAGTGAAAGATCCAATGGAGTTTTTTAAAAGAAAAACTGGGACTAGGCACCGGGAAAGCCCCTTTTACAAGGGAAGTGTTGGATGCTGAGGCTGAGAACCTACCTAGTCCCGCCCTCCCTCTTCGGGCACTTAGAGGGTTGGAAGCAGGCTTGGAACTCCTTGGGACTGGCGGGGTGAAGATCCGGCCACCGAGAGTCTCAGGGATGCCCAGAGGAGTGCCTCACTATTCTACAGGCTGGCAGGGTGTTGAAAGGATGTAGGCGTTGGTCTAAGGACCAGCCAACCTCTAGTAATGAGGGAGTTTCTGAATTTCTTCTCAAATCCTGCATGTTATGCTGAATCCCACTCCTAAGACTGATCATGGGGCCATGGGACTGTGCTTGGCTTTTCCTCTTCCCACTCCACAGCTAGAGAGTAGAGCACTTTACCAAGTAGCAATTGTGTTTACAAAGAGAGGGTGGTCTTTGCACAAAAGGCCACCTTTGTGCACCTTGCCAGAGGTTGATGAATCGAAATCACACCTGTGTTAAATGTTTTCTTTGTTAGAGTATGAAACCCGATGCAAGCTATCGGCAGAATATTGTAGTGGAGTACTAATTAACACCTTTAGATAGCAAAGTGTCTGGGAGACTTGAGCAGGAGAACCCTCCATGGAAAAGCCAGCTTGGGCAGCAGAAGGGACTCCTATGGGGTTTGCTGGCCTCATCCTCAAAACTGCATTTCAAGTTTCAAGGCAGGACCATTTTCCAGGGATCTTTGTTGTCAACAAACTCACATACAGGAGGAGCTCATCTTCAGCGAAACTGACTTGGAGCTTGGTTTGGGAAAGGTTCTCTAGGCGCTTTCAGCACAGTGGGTGTCTCTGTTTGGCAGTCACCTCTGCATCTGGAGCCTGGCAGAGTGCCCGGCACATTTCGTATTTGCTGATTGGAAGCTAGTGCCTGAGTTAAGGAGGGGCTTTTAGAGAGAGGGCCGACTTGTGGCCAGTGCTGACCAGAAGGGGTCCTCAGGAGTGGCGCTGGGGTCAGAAGCTGCTCCCTCCCCTCTCTGACCCACCATCTCCTCCTTGTTCCCCTCCTCCCTCTCCCTGGGCACTTGCTGGGTTCTGTGACTGTTAGAAGAATAAGATGTGGTCATCTGCAGCCAGTTCGGTCCATTCTGTCAAATGACAGCAGGGAATGACCCGTTGATTGCCTGTGACCTCTCCCTAACCATTGGCTCCTATTGGACATCTTGCTTGTCCCTAGTCTGGGAGGCTGGAGCCTAATTATCCCGACTAACCTCGGGTTTTCCACTCCGAGAGGCCCTTTACCAGGATTGTTGCTCTGGCACAGAGTGGGTGTTGCAAAGCCCTGGGCGGAGGCCCCAGAGCTTCCAGAGCCCCCAGGGGAGGCAGAACAGGGGCTGCTGCCCGCAGTCTGGGGTCATCATCCTCCTGGCCTCTTGTCTCATCCTGCCTCTTCCATGGCGCCCACCCACCATGGAAGAGTCACCTCCTGCCAACCTGAGCCCGCAGGTTGTGGGCTTTAGATGTGAGTCCACCTTGAGCCCCGGGCTTTCTTAGGAGAAGCAGGGCTCCCAGGCACCAGGATAGTAGTCCCGCCCCCTCCGTTTCCTGGACCACAGAGTCAGCCCAGGGGATGTTGCAGCCTTAACATGGTCTGCTCCTTCCTGCTTGCTCACACTTCTCTGTGGGAGGGTGTGTGTTCATGTGTATGTATGAGTCTAAGAGTGTATGTTTGTGTGCATTTGAGTGAGCTTGTGTTTATGTGATTCTGTGTGTGTGAGCAGGTGTGTGGAGTGTTATGAGTGTGTGAGAGATGTTATGGATATGTGGTGTGTTGTTTTTTGTGTGTGAGATGTTACGAGTGGGAGGGTGTGGGGATGTTTTGAGTGTGTGTGGTGTGGAGCCTAGTGGTGTCCCCAGCTCAGCCTAGAGCCTGTTGTTTTCCCAGGAGCCTGCAAGGCGTGGGTTCAGGGAGAGCAGGGGCTGGCTGCTCCAGGAAAGCGGAGGAGGAGAGCATTAGGGGATGCAGCCCTAAATCTCTGCTGGACTTTCGCTGCGTCTGGAAGATAACCCACACCTGGAAGGCTAATGGTGTCTTCCAATGACTGAGCTTCAACAGGGTGGTGGCTGCCACCTTGATTCTCTTCTTGAGGAAGTGGAGATTTCAAGATTATTGAAGGGTTTTCTGGTCTATCTACTCCCAGGGGGCTGCTAAATCAAGCATGCAACTTCCTTAACATCCTGGGCAGGGAGTAGGGAGTGCAGCAATCTGCTTGCCATTAGAATGGATCTCACACCTTCCCCATCTATTTTGACCTTGGACAAGGCAGCCTTCAAAGTCAAGCCCTGGCAGAATCCTGCGGCTGGCTTCCCTTTAAGCCCCCATTTCTGTAGCACTGGTGTGGAAGCCTCCACCCTCATGTCTTCACCTAGTGATGGGGGTGAGAACCAACTGTCTTGTGTTTAATCTGTTGCTAATTTTTTTTCCCCTGTGGAAGAAATGAAAGGGCAGTGATAAGTGATACCAGGGCTCTTCTATCCAGGTGTTATCTGATTCTTGAGTGTTAAAAGCAAACAAAACCATAACAGAATGTGGTGTTCATCATCCAAAATGAACATGTGCTGACAGATGTGCCTATATCTATAGCCACCGCAGATTTGAATATCTCCAAAACGACCTGTGACTTCTTGGTGGCCTTCAGAGTTTTCCTTATGCATAATATATGAAAAATGGCAAAAACCTTCTGTAATATCAGGCAGCCTTTCATAATGATAGCAGTAAATGGTCTTTGTTGAGCACTTTACAAATATCTTTTCTTTTTACACAATCGTTTTCCCACCCATCTTTAAGTACATGACTGAGTTTGTTCCAAAGTTAGGAGGGACTAGGGATATTTTGATCACTGGCTCCAACTGGTTTATTCCATCTTGCCTAGGGTTGCCTGGAGTTCCCCAAGGTCTTGTCCAGAAGAGCCAGCATACTCACATTCAGGGAGGGAAGAGAAGGGAGGACACTGGACTTGGACAGTACCAAGGGAGAACAGAGGACAGAGACCTAGGTAGCTCCCCACCCCAGCTCCTGCTCCCCCTAAATGGAGGGTAAGAGGTTAGGAAAGAGCAGAGAAATAAAGGGCTGCATAGGCTAAAGTGTTCCCAGGAAAAATTATACTTGGAAAATATTGCAATTCCAGGAATATTCTCTAAAATTCCCTTTGGAAATAGCTGCATTAAAATCATAGTAAAAATATGTGGTCACTTTTGAAATATGTCTAGGTCTAGCTCTCTACACACAATTTCTTTCTATAGTATATTTATTTTCTCTATGTAGCAGATGTCTTCTTCTTCTTCTTCTTCTCCTTCTCCTTCTCCTTCTTCTTCGTCTTCTTCTTTTTATATCAGGGATGGAACCCAGGGGCACTTAACCACTGAGCCACCTGCCCAACCTTTTTTATTTTTTATTTTGAGACAGGGGTCTCGCTTAGTTGCTGAGCCAGGCTTTGAATTCATGATCCTCCTGCCTCCGCCTTAAGAGCTGCTGGGAATTCAGAGGTGTGCCACTGCACCTGGCTTCCAGATGTAATTTTGAAGTCCCACTTAAACACAGTTCAAGACTCACAAATGAAGCTAATTTGAATCTAATCAGCATGGATTTTTCTTGATCAGTGGCTTGCTGCTGCCACCTTGCTCAGTGGTTCCAGCTGCTGAAGGATCCCTGGAAAGCATTTAAAGTAACTTTGCTTTTAGCCACACCTTCTCGGCCTTGTAGAAGTAGATACTATGTCCCACTCACAAAAATAACTGAAAGGATGGAAATAGCTGAATGGATTTGACATGTATAGTATGCAGAAGTTTTCTGATTATGACCTGCTTTTTTGAATTCTTTGCACACTATTCAGCATGAAACCAGGATATTATTATGATGAACGGGTTTAGACTCTTGTATGTGAATTTGCAAATACTAAAAACATTTTATTAAAGCAGAAGCAGATCTGGTCTGTGTTGTTTTTGCCAGTCAGTATTTGGGCCTTCTGATATCATTCCACTAGTTATCTGAGGGTGAAGTTTTTTCAAAGACTAACAACTGATTTCTTAGAAAGTTAATGGTTTTATGACCCTGTCTGAGATGATTGCCCCCCTCATAGTTTTCCAACTCTGAGCTCCACAGCCTACTTCAGGTTCAATGGGGACAACACAAAGCACACCGTGTCCCCTGCAGCCTCCTCTGCCCGCTCAGGCCTTCTGAGTGGAGTGGACAAACCATTTTCTACTCCTTCACCTGCACGTTTGCCAGGAGCCTGTCGATGCCCCTGCCCTCAAGGGCAGGCCCTTTCTAACCAGGAGCCGCCTTCAGAGCCGTCCCTCTGGGTTCATCCTGCTCTTTCTTCTTGGCCCACCAGGGAGCCGTGGCTTCCCCTCTGGGTCCCAGAGCAGGGAGAGTCTCAGGCCTCCTTCTTGGCTCCTTTCTACCTTTGCTGCGTGTGAAGCCCAGGGTGC